ATACAAAACGCACCGTTGACAATGGAATATAGAAGCAGTTTAGGTTGTGCAAAAACCGGGGGAAGGATGGGGTATTGTAGGCAGCATCATACTGTGGGGAGATCACTTCTACCAGCAAGGCAAATATGCTGAGTAATATTGCTTAAATGCAGAGCAATGCGTGGGTGGGCATCTCGGTGGGCTCGTCTGAGTCACTCATTTCGTTGAAAATGAGTAGCTAGGAAAAAAATTGGCATCTCTCTACGAAAGTTACCGGTTCCCCATGCAAAACCTCATTGTATAACCTCAAAGCGCCCGAGGAAGCAACAGCGATCAAATGAATTTGACGCACTCCATATATCGGTAACTTTCGATGAATAGATTTTTCCGTAGACACCAGGTCGTGTTAACAACGCTAAAGCGTATCTATGCTGACTACTTGCAAGAATGAAGTGGAAGTTGTTCTGTGGTCGAAAAAAAGGGGCAAATTTGCCCCTGATTTAGGACACGCTCTGTTAAATAGATGCGAAAACCTTATCATAAGATGTAATGATTATTAAACAGCACCCTGGAAAGAAATTTCTATCGCTGCGCAACAAACTGCCGAAGCTTTGCGCAAATTCGACTGTCCATTGACACAGTTAATGTCAGTGAACAGGAAACGAAACAAAAGCAGCATCAAGGGGTGCGTCTATAACTCACTCCCGCCGTTATCAGTCGGTATAACGCCGAAGCTACTTCGGTCGAAGGCTACGCATCTCAGTATTTATTCATCAAAAGCCGCTGAACATTGTCAAAAGAAGTTCGTTCACGAAATAAGATCACGGTTTGCTTACGATCGCTTTACGCGCAGGATAGAGTTTTATACGAAATATGAAATACTGAAAGACCACATTATAGGAGGTACCGCAACCCCGGTCGTCAACTACGCTTTATCCAGACAGTTTTGGGAAAAGTCCACTCCTTAGGTACCATTAACTTCCGAACAGAATTTGGAAACGATTCCACGGACCAGACTGTCTCGTTTGCGTCGAGAGAATAGCCCAATAACAACCCCTAGTCACCGCATACAACCAAAATTTTACTGTCGCGATACATTCAATTATTGGTTGTTGCATGCACATATCCAACAGCACAAAGAGCTGCTCATCTTTCATAATTAGAGTGGATATTTATGTCTGCTGGAGCCGACTATGTGCGCGAACAGAAATTAATCCGACGTTACGGAATACACGTGGATGGTAAGACATCATACGGCAGGACAAAAGGTGCTGTATGAAACAATCAAAAACCATTTTCATGGATAAGAACTTTCTATAATTAGTGTCCAAAAGAAGAACACTAGCAGAACCGACATCTGGTTAAAAAGTTTACTGGTACTGTAGACCCTGGAGCACGTTGGAAGGTGGTCTGGCAAGTTGAGAACAATCAGAAGCATCAGTTTTTATCACAATATGTATGATAAAGATGTTTTGTTTCAGCCTTTTTATTTCATTAGAAATTAATTTTTGAACTTGGTGTAGATCAGTATAGTCAAGATCTATAGGCACAGTATGGTGAATAACTAACTCAGTCTGTCTTTTAGGAGCTTGTGAATATTACAGGACTATCTCGCAGTGGCAAATGGACTTCGGCCCAAATATTTTCATCTAATTTTAGTCCGTGCCTATAGCCTTTGGATATGCAGATCTGCGCCAAGTTTAAAATAAATGTCTAAGGAAAGTAAAAAGATGAAATTTCAAAAGTGGTGTACCAACCAGAAAGTAAATAATACTGGGGAACCCACTAATGAGCAGGACCCCTCGCAGTTGTCACAGAGTAGAATAAGGGCGAAACACGTGTCTGAGCTTAGAGCTAGTACCTATGATGCCAGTATGGTCAATAATTACATGAAAAGATGTTCTGTTTAATGCGTTTGTGTTATTTTACCGGGAAGGGTTGACAATAATTTGCGCAATTAAATATGCTAAATTTACGGAAATAGGTAGGAATATTTACGAGACTTAACCAAAGATGGATCTTTTGATATTCTGCTGTAAGCGTATAGAATAAAACAGAGAGTAAAAATGGACATTACCATGATAACGTATGTCCACGTCTGAGGGGCGAGTGCTGCTAGAAACGTCATTCTGCTCGGCCATGTCAAAGGGCTTGAATTCAGCAAGAGGTGGAGGATCCCCTCCGTACAGTCCCCAGTGTCGAGGTATAACTAAAAAGTTAAAACACGTTGATGAAATTTTGGAGGCGTGTTTTGCAGTTGCATCAAAAGAAAGTCGGCTGGCTTGTCAAAATATGCATATATTCGTGCCAGGTTATATAATTAAAAGCCAAATCGCGGATTCTAGGAAGTAGATTTGAGGTAGGACAAAAGACGAAGGACAGCAAACAACCGAAAACGGATTATAGGGTGTTTACGAGGAATGCGGCGATGTTAGCGAGGCTTTACCTGTGCAAGTGTATCTGTGTATCGAGCACATAAGTGTGTGCGA